TTCCCGCCATTTGCATTTGTTGTTGCTATCATTCATTTTCAAGAGCAATGGACGAAGAAATGCCAATCTACGATGTCCTCTGGGATGATATCCCAGAAGAAGCTCTAACAAACGCTTTAATAGAAGCTACAGAAGCTGCAGAATCTACTTCAAGATTTGCAGAGATTGACGACACCGACATTGACAAAATTCTTGACAACGCTCAGTCAAAAAACACAAAGTACTCTACTCTCAGTCATGTCAAAGTTTACAAAGGTAAACAGTAATAAATTAAATCATTAAATCATAACTTATTTATAACATGCTTTTATTTATTTTCAACAACATCTAATTAACTCTTACGGCTCTTTCAAGTAAAGAAATAAAACTTACTTTTCAGTAACAATTACCGGACAGTCGACAGTCTTACAATAATATTTGTAATATTTTTAATTGTTTCTTCTTAGAATGGGCTTCTCTAAGAGGAATAGAAAACCATCTCGAAGACATGACCAATACAGAGCTTGATAAAGCTTTAACAAGATTCTACGCTGAAGCTAGAAATAAGAAAGGGGAAGATTACAGCCGCTCTACTCTACTTGGCCTCAGAAATTCAATTGAGAGATACCTAAACAACCCACCGCACAAGAAGGGTATAAAAATTACAGGAAATCCTGAATTTCATGGATCCAACAAGTTCCTGGATGCTAAGATAAAGAATCTTAAACAGAGTGGAAAAGAAAACATCMAACACAAACCTGCAATAGAGGTAGAAGACTTGAAGAAATTACAAGAGTCCGAGATCCTCAAGCCRACGACTCCGCTTAGTCTGCTGCGAAATGTGTGGTTTCATACTACTTTGTTTTGGTGTCGCCGAGGACGAGAAGGGCAAAGATCATTAACTCCAAGAAGCTTCACTTATGAAAGAGATGGTCAAGGAAATTATGTCACTATGACACATAATGAGGCGACAAAGAACCACCCAGGAGGATCAAATGATGTGGAATCGTTCGAGAAAGACGGTCGAATGTACGAAACCAACCAAGACATCGATGGCTTCAATGCTCTTCGCTTATACTTGTCCAAACTGAATCCAAACTGCCCAAGYCTCTTTCAATACCCCAAGAAGAAAGGTTGGAGTCCTTCAGATGATATCTGGTATGAAAACCGTCCGCTGGGCGTGAATAAGTTGGGTAACATGATGTCCGAAATAAGCCAAGAAGCTTGTCTTTCTCGTCGGTATACAAACCACTCTTTGAGAGCAACGGCGATTACTTTATGGTCAGAGGCAGGTATCTCAAACCGACACATAATGGCTATAT